AAATTGCTGTGAAGTTCATAATTTTGTCCTTCTTTATGGCTGTGTAATATTCCATCATGTATATGTACCACATTTTTAAAATCCAGTCTTATTTCAATGGGCAGCATGGTTGGTTCCATGTTTTTGCTACTGTGACTAGTGTTGTAATAAACATGCATGTGCAGGTATCTTTTTTATGGAGTGATTTGAGTTCTTCCAGGTATATTCCCAGCTAGGGGATTAAGGGGTCATATGGAAGGTCGATTTTTAGATCTTTTAGGAACTGCCAAACTGTTTTCCAGAGGTTGTACTAGTCACACTTCCACCAACAGTGTAGAAGTGTTCTCTTTCCCCCTGCATCCTCTCCAGCATTAGTTGTTTTTTGAGTTATTGATGGCTATTCTGACTGGAGTTAGGTGAAAACAATGACATGGAGTTAAATCCATGTTAGCACAAGTTGCAGAAAGTGTATATAATATCGTTCAAATATGGGGGCATTGAGGGTATGATATACACATTTTTATACTTATAGAAAAATGTCTGGAAGATAACACACAATTAACTGCTACCCCTAGGGAGTGAGTTAAGAAAAAGGAAAAGGAAGAAATGGAGTACTTGTACTGTGAAAAAATGTTTTCCCAATCAGCATATATTACTCTTGTAATTTTTTTTAAAACCTCAAAAAAAATGTATCTGAGTGGTTATCTCAGAATGGTGATTATACTGACTTCTCATTTTCTCCTTTGTGCTTTTATGTAGCTTCCAAGCTTTCTAAAATTAAAAGTATATTTATAGGCGGAAAAATCAAGCAAATATTCCAGTTTTTTTTTAAACAAAAGAAAGTAACATACATGGCACTTAAGTTATAGCTATTAAATAAGACAAGTCCTGCAGCCACATAAAATCAAACAAAGTCCACACTCCTGGGAAAACCTATTTTAGAGAGGCTAAACACTTTGGCCAAGATTACACAGTAATAGCAGTAGAGTTAGGATGCAAATGCAGTTTGATTCCAACATCTCAGCTCTGGATGTCTTTAAACTAGCAATGCTAAGCTCTTGAGATGAACACTAGTATGATATAGAAGGAAAGCAAATGATTTAAAGTCAGGCAACGTGAGTTTAAGTTCTGAATTAGGTATCTGGTAGCCAAATTTTTTTTTTTTTTTTTTTTGAGTTGGAGTCTCACTCTGTGGCCCAGACTGGAGTGCAGTGGCCGCTCCCGGCCACTGCAGCCTC